ATCAAAATTGCACCAGCATACTTCTCAAAACTAGAACAAATTATCCTCAGATTTGTATGGAACCACAAAAGACCCCGAATAGCCAAAGTAATACTGAAAAGTAAAACCAAAACGGGAGGTATCACCATCCCAGACTTTAGCCTCTACTACAAAGCTGTCATCATCAAGACAGTATGGTATTGGCACAAAAACAGACACATAGACCAATAGAATAGAATTGAGAACTCAGACCTGGACCAAAAAGTATACAGCCAACTGATCTTTGACAAAGCAGGAAAGAATACCCAATGGAAAAAAGACAGACTCTTTAACAGTTGGTGTTGGGAGAACTGGACAGCAACATGCAAAAGAATGGAACTAGAAAATTTTTTAACACCATACACAAAAATAAACTCAAAATGGATAAAGGACCTGAACGTGAGACAGGAAACCATCAAAACCCTAGAGGAGAAAGCAGAAAACAACCTCCTTGACCTCAACCACAGCAATTTCTTACTTGACACATCCCCAAAGGCAAGGGAATCAAGAGCAAAAATAAACTATTGGGACCTCATCAGGATTAAAAGCTTCTGCACGGCAAAGGAAACAATCCCTAAAACTAATAGGCATCTAACGGAATGGGAAAAAATAGTTGCAAATGACAGATCAGATAAAAGGTTAATTTCCAAAATCTATAAGTAACTCACCAAACTCCACACCCAAGAAACAAATAATCCAGTGAAGAAATGGGCAGAAGACATGAACAGACACTTCTCCAAAGAGGACATCCAGATGGCCAACAGACACATGAAACGATGCTCAGCATAATACTCATCAGGGAAATACAAATCAAAACCACACTGAGATACCACCTCACGCTAGTCAGAGTGGCTAAAATGAGCAAATTTGAGAACTCTAGATGCTGGCGAGGATGTGGAGAAATGGGCACCCTCCTACACTGTTGGTGGGAATGTAAACTGGGGCCGCCCCTCTGGAAAACAGTGTGGACGTTCCTCAAAAAATTAACACTAGAACTCCCCTATGACCCAGCAATAGCACTGCTAGGAATTTACCCAAGGGATATAGGAGTGCTGATACATAGGGGCACATGTACCCCAATGTTCATAGCAGCACTCTCCACAATAGCCAAATCATGGAAAGAGCCTAAGTGTCCATCAACAGATGAATGGATCAAGAAGATGTGGTTTATCTATACCATGGAATACTACATGGCAATGAGAAAGAATGAAATCTGGCCATGTGTAGCAACATGGATGGATCTTGAAGGTGTTATGCTGAGCGAAATAAGCCAGGCAGAGAAGGACAGATACCGTATGTTTGCACGTATAGGAGGATTAGGAGGAACTTAATGGAGGACCGTGGGGTAGAAGAAGGGGGGAAATAGTAGGGGAGAGGGAGAGAGGCAAACCATGAGAGACTCTTGAATACTGAGAACAAACTGAGGACTGATGGGTGTGGAGGGAAGGTGAGAGATGGGCATGGACGAGGGCAATTGTGGGGATGAGCACTGGGTGTTATATGGAAAGCAACTTGACAATAAACTATTTGTAAAAAGAAAACAAAATAAAATAAAATTTGCCAGTTAGTGAAAGCAGATATGCTTGTGTGAAACATTAAAATAAGAATGCATTGTTAATAAATGCCAGTTATTGAAGGAACTTAAAAATATTTTTAAAAAATAAAAAAATAAACATAAAAAAGCAGCTCTCTTCTTCCTCTGCTGACTAGCATGTTTGCTGAGCTAAATATATGCTCATTCTCCTACTCCACTCCTATTCCATTCCATAAATGAATACTTGAGGCAAAAATAGTCACCCAAAAAAATATTGCGCTCAAACAGTACTAATTACTATTGACAAAACATGTCCTGTTGTTTCATTCCTGCATAACTCTCACTGAGCTCCCACTGCTGATAGCAGCTTTCTTCTATCCCCACCCTACTTTCCCTCTTTCAGTAAATCCTTATTTATTCGTCAAGCTCAGACTTCACCTATAGTAGGGATTTCCTTCAACAGGAAAGAATTCATTCTTTCTTTTTACTTGGACCTCATGGTGTCTTCAATGTATTTTATTTGTATCAAATCACACTAAACAACAATTAATCGTACCAGTGTGGCTTTTGTTTTCATTAAATATCCATGGTGTTGGCAAGAACATGCTGCTTACTCCTAGCTGTGGAAAAACTTGTTCATGACTATAATTTCCAAATCTAAGCAAATCAAGAATAAATTTGTGAATGAGAGTTTAGGAAATTGGTATGAAGTCTCTTGGAAATTACCCAAGACATTTTCTGACATATTTGATATTACTCCCTTGGGTCAGCTTTCGAAAATTCACTCACTTTAAACCAGATATCTAAAGTGTGTTTATATCTGTGATTCTTGTCTTGAAAAGTCTGCAGTGTCCAACCAAGTAACCAAGGACTATGAGGATGAAGATGTAAAAAATGAAGAAAAGAAAGCCCTGACATGGACCACGTTATGTAACACCCCACTAGTTCTAAAAGAACTTAGAAAGGTAAAGCCACTCAATAACCTACATTGCTCTGAACTTTAGCTCCCCATCCCTGCCAAGAATTTATTTATTTTTACTACTAATTCATTGGAGTTCTATGGGATCTGTATATATTCTTATAAAATAGAAGGCTAAGATGTGTAGCAACATGGATGGAACTTGAGGGTGTTATGCTGAGCAAAATAAGCCAGGCAGAGGACAAATACCATATGTTTGCACACATAGCGGGATTAGGAGAAACTTAACGGAGGACCATGGGGGAGAAGAAGGGGAAAAATAGTGGGGGAGAGGGAGGGAGGCAAACCATGAGAGACTCTTGAATGCCGAGAACAAACTGAGGGCAGATGGGGGGAGGGGAAAGGGAGTGATGGGCATGGAGGAGGGCACTTGTGGGGTTCAGCACTGGGTGTTATATGGAAACCAACTTGACAATAAACTATTTATATATATATATAAATATATATAAATTATATATATATATATAATATAAATTATATATATATATATAATTCAACACCTAAAACATAGATAATCCAATTAAAAAATAAATAAAATCTTAAAAAAAAAATAGAAGGCTAAGAGGATAAACATGCTTGTGAAACTGTCACAGGTACCAGTCTGCGGGGGTCTGAGTTTATGGTATGGTTGACTCATAATCAGTGCTCCAGTACATTGTTGGTGTTTTTTTTCTCTAATTTTCTCAGATTTATTATAAGTGTCCAGTTGTAAAGGCTGTAAGAAGTATCTCCCTTGTAGTAAAAAAATATGAGTGCTTTGGGTTACTTGGATTAAGTGGAGCTGGAAAAACCACTACATTCAAAATATTGACTGGAGAGGAGACCCCAACATCTGGAGCTGTGTTAATTGATGGCTTTAGCATCACCAAAAGTATCGGAAAGGTATTTCTGCTCCTAATCACTGAGTTGGAACCCTACGGAAGGAGGCAACTGGGCAAGTAGGTGGGGAACATGAAAGGGAAGCTGGATGCATGGATATTATTTTCTCAAAAGTAACAGAATCCAGGGACAATAATCGTCATGATAACATATTGAGTTTGGGAAAAGGCAAATATTCTTTCTGGCCGAAACAAAGTATGAGTGTCTTTAAGCTGGCCAAACTAGAAACAGGAAGAGCAGTTATTTCACATAATCTGCTATGACATATTTAAGAGTTTTATATAAAACAATGATTAGAAAAAGTAGTTGTGAAAGATAGTAAGAAAGTTGAAAGGTGCCTGGGTGCCCCAGTCAATTAAGTGTTTGACTCTTGATTTCCCCTTAGGTCATGATCTCACGGTCATGAGATTGAGCCCTGTGTTGGGCTCTGCACTGAGAGTAGAGCCTGCTTAAGATTCTCTCCTTCTGCCTCTCCCCATCTCACACAATTTCTCTCTTAAAAAAAAAAAAAAAAGAAAGAAAGAAAGAAAAGAGTCATATTGACAAGATTTGCACTCAATTTGGATGTGGAGTATAAGAAAAATAGATGGTCAGAGTTAAGATGGTGGAGGAGTAGAGAGACCCTAAGCTTGTCTTGTCTCTCAGACACAGCTAGATAGTTATCAAATCATTCTGAACACCCAGCAAGTATATCAGAGGCCTGAGAAGGGGAAAAATTTGCAAGTCTACAGGTAGAAAAGTAACTACCTTCTGAAAGATCCTCTTAACAAGCAGACCAAAATACACCCAGGTTATTGTTTTGTTCTATTTTGTTTTTGTTTTCTTTTTTCTTTCTTCTTTTCTAGACAAAATGACAAGACAGAGAATTTCACCCCAAAAGAAAGAGCAGAAAGTAGAACTCATGGTCAAAGATTTAGTCCATATAGATATAAGTAAGATTTCTGAACCAGAATTTAAAACAGTGATCATAAAGCACTAGCTGGGCTTGAGAAAAACATATAAGACACCAGAAAATCCCTTTCTGCAGACATAAAAGAACTAAAATCTAGTCAGGCTGAAATTAAAAATGCTATAAGCAAGATGCAAACCCTAGTGGATGTCATGATGATGATGATGGATGACACAGAGGAGTGACTTAGTGATATAGAAGATAAAACTATGGAAAGTAATGAAGCTGAAAAGAAGAGGGAAAGAAACTTATTTGCAGCTTATTAAAACATAATAACATTCTGGGTGCCTGGGTGGCTTAGTCGGTTAAGCGTCATACTTCGGCTTAGGTCATGACCTCACGGTTCATGAATTGGAGCCCCTCATCAGGCTCTGTGCTGACAGCTCAGAGCCTGGAGCCTGCTTCAGATCCTGTGTCTCCCCTTTCTCTGTGCCCTTCTCCTGCTCACACTCTCTCAAAAATAAACATTAATAAAAAAAAAAAACATATCATAGGAGTCCCAGAAGATAAACAGAGAGAGAAAGGGGGGAAGAGGGTTTACTTGAACAAATTATAGCTGAAAACTTCCCTAATCTGTGGAAGGACACAAAACAACAAAAGCCGACCATCACCAAGAAATAAAATAGTCAAATTCACAAAATACGTAGACAAAGAAAGAATCCTGAGAACAGCAAGGGGAAAAAAAGTCCCTATCCTACAAGGAAAGACAGATCATGTTCAGAGCAAATATATCCACAGAAACTTGGCAGCCTAGAAAGGAGTGGCAGAATATATTCAACATGCTAAATAGGAAAAATATGCAGCCAAATAATGCTCTTATCCAGCAAGTCTGTCATTCAGAATAGAAAGAGAGATAAAGAGCCTCCCAGACAAACAAAAACTAATAGAGTTTTTGACCACTAAACCAGCCCTGCAAGAAACTTTTCAGTGGGGGACTCTTTAAGTGGAGGAAAAAAAAGACAAAAAGCAACAAAGACTAGAAAGGATCAGAGAACATCACCAGAAACACCAACTGTGCAGGTAACACGGTGGCACTAAATTTTTATCTTTCTGTAATCAATAGGCTAAATGCACTTTTGCACTGCTGGTGGGAATGCAAACTGGTGCAGCCACGCTAGAAAACAGTGTGGAGGTTCTTCAAAAAATTAAAAATAGAACTACCTTGTGACCCAGAAATTGCACTATTAAGTATTTATCCAAGGGATACCGGTATGCTGTTTCAAAGAGACACATGCACCCCAATGTTTATAGCAGCACTGTCGACAGTAGCCAAAGTATGGAAAGAGCCTAAATACTCATTGACTGATGAATGGATAAAGAAGAGTGGCATGTATATACAATGGAATACTATTCGGTGATAAAAAAAAAAAAATGAATGAAATCATGCCATTTGCAACAATGTGGATGGAATGATATTGTATTATGCTAAGTGAAAAGAGAGAAAGGCAAATATATGATTTCACTCATGTGGAATTTAAGATACAGAACAGATGAACATAAGGGAAAGGAAGCAAAAATAATATAAAAACGGAGAGGGAAACAAACCGTAAGAGACTTTTAAATACAGAGAACAAACTGAAGGTTGCTGGCCAGGTGTTGGGAGGGAGGATGGGCTAAATGAGAAAGGAACATTAAGGAGGACACTTGTTGGGATGAGCACTGGGTGTTATATGTAAGTGATGAACCACTAAATTCTATTCCTGAAATCATTATTATGCTATATGTTAAGTAACTTGGATTCAAATTTTTAAAAAAATAAAGAAATAAATACCGGAAAATATTTAAAATTTTTTCAAAACACAAAAGAGTCTCAGCCTTAATATAAAACAAAGTGAAATTCAAGCCTGAGAGCATAAGTGACAAAAAGGCACATTACATTTTAATACTAACACATAACATTTATAACAGAGATAGAAAAATTATGAATATTTTTATACCAAATGACAGAGAGGCAACCTCTGTAAGGCAGAAATTATAGGAAATATGAGAAAAAAACACCATATAATACATGAAATGTTTATTTCTCTTCTTTTAGTCCAAGATCATGTCAGTAGAAAATAAACATGAACAAAAATATGCAAGTGATATCGTCAATATATATCAAATTTTGTATCCCCCAAAATAATTCATTTATCAATTGGACTATTTTATGCATACATTAAAAATAATATTTTCCATATATATACATTCTCTGATTATAATTAAAACAAGGAATTTAAAAATCAGAATATGAAAAGCCCTCCCCTTTTGAATTTTTTTAAAGTTTTTTTTTTTTAAGTAATCTCTACACCCAGCACGGGCCTTGAACTCACAGCCCCGAGATCTAGAGTTGCACGCTCCACCGACTCAGTCAGTCAGGTGCTCCCTCCCCCTTTTGAAATATAAAAAATCATTTTAGGTAATTCTTGTTTTCAATCAAGAATTACAAAACTTTCTATAATATAATAAAAGCATTATGTGTCAGAAACTATGAGATACAATAAACCATTACTGGGAAAATATTGGATAATCTTATATACTCATTTCAATAAAAAAGAAAAAAGAAAAATAAAAAACTGAAACACCTGACTTGTTTAAAAAAAAAAACTAAATGGAAGTAAAGCATATAAAAATTTCTGTCAGACAAGTGCATAAATTGATAAGTAAAAATATAAAGCCAGCTAACCAACAATTAAGTCAAGTCAACTAGAACTTTATAAAATAAACCTACCCCCCCCAAATAATGTAAATGCATTTCAAAGAAATGATATATATGCTGTAATATTAAAGTACATCTATCCCTTTGATATAGTATTTTTGTATTCTGTGGGTAAATACCTATTAGTGCAATGCCTATTGAGGAAACTCCATACTGTTTTCTAGAGTGGCTGCAACAGTTTGCATTCCCACTAGCAGTGCACGAGGGTTTCCCTTTCTCCACATCCTTACCAAAACCTGTTGTTTCTAGTGTTGTTGATTTTAGCCATTCTGACAAGTATGAGGTGATATATCATTGTAGTTTTGATTTTTATTTCTCTGATGATCAGTGATGCTATAGCAGCATTATCTACAATAGCCAAATTATGGAAACAGCCCAAGTGTCCATCAAATGATGAATGGATGAAGATGTGGAACACATACAATGGAATAATACTCAGCCATGAAAAAAGAATGAAATCTTGGGGCGCTTGGGTGGCTGTTGATTAAGCATCCCACTCCAGCTCAGGTCATGATCTCGCAGTTCATTATATGTAATGCTAACATATAAGTGAGATCATACTGCGTCTGTCTCTGGCTGATTATGTCACACAGAGTAATGCCCTTAAGGTCCATCCATGTTGTCACAAATGTCAGGATTTCCATATTTTTTTATGGCTGAATAATATCTCATTGTATAGATATACCATGTTTTCTTCATGCATTCAGCCATCAGTGGATTCATGTTTCCATGCCTTGGGTATTGTAAATTATGCTGCAATGAGCAGCAGATACGTTTTTGAGTTAGTGCAGATAACTTCTTGAGTTAGTGTTTGTGTTTCATTGAGATTAATACTCAGAAGTGGAATTGATGGATCGTATGGTAGGTAGTTCTAGGTTTAATCTTTTGAGGAAACTCCATACTGTTTTCCATAGTGGCTGCACCAATATGCAGTCCCACCAGCAGTGCACAGGGTTCCCTCTTCTCCACATAATCACCAGTGTTTGTTATCTCTTGCCTTTCTGATAATAGTCATTCTAACAGGTGTGAGGTGATGTATTATTGTGGTTTCTGTTTGTATTTCACTGATTATTAGTGATACTGAGCACCTTTTCATGTACCTGTTGGTCATCTTTATGTCTTCTTTAGAAAAATGTCTATTCAGATCCATTTTTTAATCAGATTGTTTGTTTGCTATTAAATTGTACAAGTTCTTTATATATTTTGGATATTAACCCCTTATCAGATACATCATTTCCAAATATTTTTACCCATTCATTAGGTTACTGTTTCATTTTATTGATGGTTTCCATTGCTGTGGAGACTCTTTTAGTTTCATATACTCCAATTTGTTTACTTTTGTATTATTTATGTATATAAAGATACATTATGATATACATCATAGAAGTTACTTGGCCATTACTGGAAATGAAAACCTATACCTTATTTTAATTGATTTAATAGAATAGTTCTTTCCTAATGATATTTGAATAGGCAACTTCCTCTAACAAAATTTTGTCTTGGGAACATAGCAGTCCACAATGGATATGTGTTGAAAATTTTCAGTTAGAGATGTTAGTATTTCATCTTAATGCAGTGGGTTCCAGCTGTAAAGATTATTTAGACTGGAAAAGAAATAATCCTTGTCAGGAGCAATTTGGGTATCAAACCTTCTTAGCAACATGGGCTAGAAAATCAGGTTTTCTATCTCATCCACATAAACTATATGCTCAGTGGAATAGATGACTTGGGTCTATTACTTATGATTTCTCTCTTGATTCAGATTAGGTCACGAATTGGCTACTGTCCTCAAGATGACCCCTTGCTGAACCATATGACAGGTCACGAAGTGCTTATCATGTATGCCAGGCTGCGAGGGGTCCCTGAGCCAGACATTTGCAAGTATGTGGAAACCTTTTTGCATGCGGTGCACCTGGAAACAAATGCTAACAACTTCGTCCACATATACAGGTTAGACATGCTGTTGCAATTATTGAGCTGCCTACTGGTGTTTCTACCATTTAGAATGAATGCTTACAAACTGAACCTGATCCATCTATCACACAGAGGCAATGACTGTGAAGTAGCCTGATGTCCTGTCAGGGTTCAAATGTCAGGAATAAGGTAGATCTCACTTATATGAAGTTAACCTCTTGCAGACATGAGCAGTAGCCTTTACATTTCATTTAAAAAAAAAAAAAAAAAAGCCCCTTCATCCCTATCTCTCTATAGTTTTTTTTTATGTCTTTCCAAAACAAAAGTATTTTGCCAGTAATTATGTTGAGATAAATTACCAGGAAAAAAGTCATTTCAATGAAAATGAATTGACATATACATCTAGACTTGGACCTGCTGCTTTGTAAGTCATATCAATTCAGCATTCTATAAACATGAGCTAATTCCCATGAATTAATGATATGTGTATCTTTATCTTCTTTCTCCTCCACTCTCTCTTTCTTTGACAATAAAGTGAAGGAAACAAACGTAGATTAAATATTGCTATTGCCCTTATGGGAAATTCCTCAATTGTCTTCTTGGATGAGCCATCTACTGGCTTAGACCCAGTAGCCAGACGCCTGCTCTGGGACACAATTACATGGATGTGTAAAAGTGGCAAAGCTATCATCATAACTTCCCACAGGTATGACCCATTAGAAAGCTTGGTTGAGCAAGAGTATGGGACGGAATTAGGTGGAGCCAGGAATATAGGTCAGTGAACTTGTCTAAGTATATGGGTTATACAGGAAGGACTGTGGGTAAAGGCTGATTCTTGACTAATGGCAAGAATCCTCAGTTATATTCTGTAATCCAGAAATGACGGAAAATAGGAAGTGATGGAACTGTTCCTAATTGTGTATTTAGGAATCAATTGCTTTGAATTGTAAGATCTCCTCTTCCTAAATATGGTCTTAGTGGTAATTATCTTCATTAACCAGCTTTCCTACTGCAGCCATTAATTTATAATCCTAGCTCTGTTTTGAGATATGGAATTTGCCCTCTGAAAGGGAGTCTCTTCAACCATATTTCCTTTGTCCCCCGAGCATGGAAGAATGTGAAGCCCTCTGTTCCAGACTGGCCATCATGGTAAAAGGGAAGTTCAGGTGCCTGGGCAGCCCTCAGTACCTCAAGAACAAGTTTGGTAATGGATACATTCTGACAGCAAAGATTAAATTTGAAAACAATAAAGATAAACTAAAGAAGTTCAAAGAATTCATGGCAGCAACTTTCCCAGGTAATGTAGCCAAGGCTACCTTATCACAGTTGTGTTAAGTTTTAATGTTGTTCTGCTTCATGTCCTCAATAACCAACTTTTTCCCGTGAGTTGCTTTTTATTGGGCTTTTCTATTAAGCTCCTTTTGGAATAATTTCTCTATGATATTATGGATGATTATGCTAAGAAACTTTCTCAAAATAGCAGAGGCTCTCACCAGTCTATTATAGGAATCAACCAGTAAGACAAACCTGTTTATATGTGTTCATCTAGAGTTAAATTATTAAGGTTAAGTCTGTTTTTTACCCTTCATAATTTTGTAAGATTTCCTCATGTTTCTTCTGCCTTTCCCTGATCCCTGAGGCAGGCAATGCTTATGAAATGCATACTAGAACAGTAAACTCCCTTTATTCCTTTCAAGGAAATAATCTGGATGTGTAACACATAAAAATCAATCTATCTGCTTTCATGACTAAATTCAGTAAGTTCCTCTCTGTGCTCATCTACACAGTCATTTACAGCTATTTCTATTTGCTTCTATTCCTACTACTTTAATCATTAAGCTGAAACATGGTAAAGAACTTTTAGTTCTTTAGTCTCCAGCTTGAATGATCATTCTATCAACAGTGTGGTGGCCAAAACAGGATACAAGACTAAAAGCATGGAGGCTATAATGATGATAAAGCAATAAATGGTATTGGACTGCACTAAGGAAGTCACAGTAAGAACAGAGAGGAGGGTAGCACCTGAGTGGCTCAGTTGGTTAAGCCACTGACTCTTGATTTTGGCTGGGGTCATGATTTTGCAGTTCATGGGTTTGAGCCCCATGGTGGGCTCCATGCTGACAGTACAAAGCCTGCTTGGGATTCTCTTTTATGCCCTCTCTCCCTCTCCCTCTTTATCTGACCCTCCCCCACTCACACACATGCACTCTCTCTCTCAAAATAAAATTTTTAAAAATCTTTTTAAAAAAAGAATAGAGAGGAGTATATGATAGGAAACAGAAATACACACATGCCTGTGTGTTCAATTAAAGAGGAAAAATCACTATGTGGGAAAGATCATTAGTTTATGTATATATCAAGTATATTAATTATACCTAGATATTCAGATAAATATGTCTATTAGGCAGTTGAATATTCATTTAGTCATTCATTCATATGCTAAGATTTATAAGTGCTTGTTGTATGCAGTGTTGAAGATACTGAATTAACCACACATTCACATGTGGTCTTTCACATGTTATATTTCTTTCTTTTCTCCTTTTCTGGATATTCTTTATGTACATTATCCATATTATCCAGAAAAGGAGAAAAGAGAAAGAAAATAGTTGCTCTTTCTATAGCATGGCAAATTATACTCTCAAAAAAGTTCTTCTATTAAATAAAAATACATACTGGAAACATAAAGTAAAATTCCTTTTTAATTATTTTTCTTAGAGGGGCACTTGTGGGGATGAGCACTGGGTGTTATATGGAAACCAACTTGACAATAAACTATTTGTAAAAAAAAAAAAAACAAAAAACAAAAAACAAGCGAACAAATTGCAATTAATCCACACAATGGGATGCTATTTGACAATAAAAACAGAAACACTAGCAACAACCTAAGAGAATCTCAAAACCACTGTGATGAGTGAAAAAGCCAAACAGAGACTATGGGCTAATTGCTACCATTTACCTGAGGTTCCCGCATAGGCAAGATGAATCTGTAGTGACCAGAGCTTCCGAGGGTTGCTTGGGGCCAGGAGTGGAGGGCAAGAATAAGTGCAGAAGGCTTTGAGCAACCCCTGGGAAGCTTTGTGTCACTGCAGATTCATTTTGCCTGTGCAGATTCATTTTGCCTGTGCTAGAACTTCAGGTAAATGGTATCAATTAGTCCATTAGTACAAAAGGCATGAGAGAACTTTCTGGGGTGATAAAAATATATTATATCTCAATTCCAGAGGATGTATGTATTTATATTTGTGTTTGTATGAATTGGCTAAACTTCTCAAGATGTACAAGGTGTTTTAAAAAAATAAAATTAATTAATTATTTTTCTTAAACTCACAAAGAAAATGAGAACAATTCAAAGAACCAAAACAGAAATTAAAAAAAAAAATCATGAAGCTGAAACTTGATAGTAAAAATTTTTTAATGCAAAAGCTGGTTTGCCTAAAGAAAATTTCAATACCAGTACTGAGATAAGACATGACTTTGGACTCACTGCAATGTCAGGTAGATTAACCTAAGATTCCCATAGTAAGCAAGGATCTTCAAAAATGAATAGATGCTCTCAGGGTGTCTGGGTCGCTCAGTTGGTTAAGCATCTGACTTGTGATTTCGGCTCAGAGCAGGATCTCACAGTTTGTGACATCAAGCCCCTCCTCAGGCTCTGTGCTGACTGCAGAGCCTACTTAGGATTCTCTCTCTCCCTCTCTGTCTCTCTCCCTGCCTTCTCCCTCCTCAAATAAATAAATAAACTTCAAAAAAATTAACAGACGCTCTGGTTTCCAGCTCAACATGTGAGAAGGTTGGAAATTGCCACTCTGCCCTAACAAGGAAAAGCTGAACAAACTGAAAAATCAACAAAATCTTCTACAATCTGAAAGAGAAATGAACAAACAGGGAAAACCTCTACAGCCAAGATTGTAGAGACAGGCAAATACAGAGATTACCAGAGCAGAGACTTACAAGCAGAAACTGCAGTCGTTACCAGATCCAGGACAGGAAACCCAGAACCATAATTGAATTGCTGGGGTACTGTGTGGACAATTCGGAGACGTAAAAACTCCAGGGAAGGCAATCATGGGAGTTTTCTACAACCATATTGCAACAGTAAATATCAGAGAAAAATCCCCTCATGTTTCCAGCAAGGAGAAGGGAAAATGAATCATTTTGAAATATGCTAGATAGTTCTTTTCTTTGTTACAAGGCCTGCCATCAGGAGGAAGCTAGTTAACCTAAACTTGACTCGGTAGGGTATTATCAGAGCCTAAGTGACCTTGAAGAAGGGAAATGCCCAATTTCAGCCATCTTGTTCCATATAAGACAGAGAGAAAAGAACAGAGAAACTCTTGTGCAGTTTACAATCCAGAGGCATATACTTGCTAAAAGAGTGAGAGAGATGCATAGGACACAGAATCCTTCCCCCCTTCCCCCCACACCATACCACCAGATTACTAATGGCCTAATTAGAGGAGTTCCTGTCCCCCAAGAAGTCTAGCTATGAGGAAAAAATTACAAAGCATACAAAAAGGCAAAAAACACAATTTGAAGAGACAGAACAAGAATCGAAACCAGACATGGCAAGGATGTTGGAATTATCAGACCAGTAATTGAAAACTATGATTAATATGCTAAGGGCTTCAATGAATAAAGTAGACACCATGTAAGAACAGATGGACAATATAGGCAGATAGATGGAAATCCTAAGAAAGAACCAAAAAGAAATGATGGAGATCAAAAACACTATATTAGAAATGAAGAATGCTTTGATAGACTTATTAGTAGACTAGACCTGACTGAAGAAAGAATCTCTGAGCTGGAGGATATATCAATAAAATCACAAAAACCAAAAGGCAAAGAAAACAAAGACTAAAAACAAAAACAAATTAAAAAACAGAACAGAATATGTGAAGACTGTAGGACAACTACAAAAGGTATAACATATGCATAGTGGGAGTACCAGAAGAAAAAGAGAGAAATAAATAGAAGAAATATTTGAAACCATAACGACCAATGGTTTCCCTAAAGATAACAATCACATCCAACTTCTCAAAACTCATACAAGCAAAACAGTGAACTGAACTATTTAAAGTGCTGAGAGAATAAAACCACCAACATAGAATTCTGTACCCAGAGAAATTATTTTTCAGTGTGAGGGAGAAATAAAGACTTTACCAGACCAAAAAAAAAAAAAAATTGAGGTATTTTTTGCCAGTAGACCTACTTTGCAAATTATGTTAAAAGTTCTTTAGAGAGAAGGAAAACGATGCATGTCAGAAACTCATATCTACATAAAACAAAGCAAGAGCATCAGAGAAGGAATAAGTAAAGATAAAATGAAAACTTCTATTTTTCTTATTCTTAATTGCCCTAAAAGATAAAAGTTTGTTTAGAGGCATAATAGAGTGATGTCATCAAATGACCAAATAGGAGTTTTCTACTGTCTTCTCCACAAAAAAGACATCAATTTGAAAGTTATCCACATGCTACAGAAATGCTGATGCATAGGAGCACATGTACCCCAATGTTCAGAGCAGCACTCTCCACAATAGCTAAAACATGGAAAGAGCCTAAGTGTCCATCAACAGACAAATGGATCAAGAAGATGTGGTTCATCTATACCATGGAATACTACATGGCAATGAGAAAGAATGAAATCTGGCCATGTGTAGCAACATGGATGGACCTTGAGGGTGTTATGCTGAGCGAAATAAGTCAGGCAGAGAAGGACAAATATCATATGTTTGCACGTATAGGAGGATTAGGAGGAACTTAACTGAGGAACAAGGGGGAGAAGAAGGGGGGGAATGGTGGGGGAAAGGGAGAGAGGCAAACCATGAGAGACTCTTGAATGCTGACAAAAACTGAGGACTGATGGATGGAGGGGTGAGGGGGGATGCGCATGGAGGAGGGCACTTGTGGGGATGAGCACTGGGTGTTATGTGGAAACTAATTTGACAATAAACTATTTAAAAAAAAAAGAAGAAGAAGAAAGTTATCCACATGCAAGAGTAGTGGAAGTAGAGAGTCCAGAAGAGAAGTTCCAGCACATCAGTGAGCAGAAAAGTCCAAGATTTGTCACACTGGTGACAAGTGTGTAAGAGTAAGAATGTGTAAGAGTAGGAGTAAGAGAAACAATTTCCCTTTACCAGTGTCACCCTGACCACAAGGTGGCACACAACTCAGTACCAAGAGAAACCTTATTCATGCACAGTTTTCCTCATGAGGGTACGAGTGAGTGAGTAAGCACCTGACGTCCCAAGTTGTGAGGAACACTGACAAAGAAACCCACCTTGTCTTGCTCCATCAAGG